TCCAGCCACAGCCCGTCGCCCCATCGCCACACAAGCCGTCGGTGGTGAGCTCCAGCGTGTCGTTGGTGATCGCCCGAAACGCCTCGTCCGCGGTGTTCCTCGTAGATCTCCTCCTCGACGGTGTTCTCGTGCCCCCCGGCTCGACCATCGTCGCCAGCCCGAGGGAACAAACCCCGCTTCCAACGTTTCAACCACTCCAGGAGCTTGGTGACGTTCAGATCGTCGAAGGGGTCGTTGCATCCTCCGGCGCGTCCATCCGGCTTGATCATGTAGCCGGCCATCAAAACCAAGGCAGACGCGGTTTGGCCCCCCGTGGCCTTGCTGCCTTCGAGAAGGATGTGATCCGTCCCGAAGCCCCTGCGCACCAGATCGGCCCAAAGCTTCGCGTCCCTGCCTTGGCATTGCCATACCTCCTGCTCAGAAAGTCGACGAACAGCACCTGGAGGTCCCCGGGGATCCCAAACCAAACATCTGTGAAGTCCTTCATCCTCTCGCAGCGGCCAGCGTAATGGGCCCCCCGTGCTCATTAGGACGCACCGTTCTCCGTGTAGCCAGTAGTGACCCTTGAGAAGAGGTAGGAGAGGTTCGCGGGGTATCCCAGCATCAACGACCAGCTTGTCTGGGTACACCCAGGCTTCGTTCGGCACCAGCTTCGTCGGGCACAGTGCTGCGCTCATCGGTGGGCCAAGCACACTTCTCGAGGTCGCGGTGCTGAAGGCATCTTCCAAGGCAAAAACAACGGTCGCAATCAGGCACTTCCTTCGCCTCACCGCGAACTCCCCGAACTCACTGGTAAGGTACTCGTTGAGCTCGGTGGACCACTGGGCCTCATCAAGCAAACGCGTCGCCTCCTCCCATGGTGCCTGACGTGGGCCTTCCAGGACGACAAGGAGAGGCCGCCCTTCGATCACCGCCTCGGTGACCGCTCGCAAGCACTTGCCATGGACATCCGGTGGGAGGGAGGCAAAGACGACCTCGCCCGCATTCACGGGACCCGACCACGTAGCCCGCCTGCATTGTCCCCCCGCCGCGGTCACCGCATCAGCGAAGTCCGTGACAATCCTGTTTGGGCCGCACAACTCCACCGCCTTGAAGGCCCCCCAATCGGGGCTGAGTGCTCGCGGAAGCGCCCTCTTGAGTCGGCGCTGCTTAAGCTGCATGAGGACCCGGCGATCTTCCTCACCCCAAGCCAACAGGCACGGGCCAAAGCGCTCGGAGTCTGCCACCGCTTGCCGAAGAGAGCCGACCACATCCACCACTCTCCAGCCCTTCTGGTTCACCAGCTCCAGGAACTCATCGTCGGAGCACCGGGTTAACAGGTCGGCGTGAACATTGTGGAAGGTCCGCCACCAAGTCGCGACGAGCACAAAGCGGTACCTCATTTCGAGCACGTTGGCCAGGCGCACCAAAATTCGGCCTGTTCGAGTACCTGCCTTTCGTCCCACAATCCACTCGCGGACGATCTTGTTGTCTCCGCCGTAAAGCACCACCTTGCCCTGCCACGTCTCCCCCACGTGGCACGCAAAGGCCAGGAAGGAGAGCATCTCGGCGACGTGGATCGCAATCTCGTCGTCATCCCCGCATTGCTGGACCCACGTCGCTGCCGCCTTCGCCGGCATTCGCATCACCATCCCATTGGTCCAGTCGATGGCCGCGATCATGGTCTTGGTTGCATCAGAGGATACGAACACAGTGCCCGCATCCCACTCCCCCGAGAGCCAAACGTTCACGAACAGGTAGAAGCTCCCTCATGCCCGCCCCGAACTTTGCCGGCCACGTCTCCGGCCTTGCACACAGCCAACGGGCCTCCTCAAAGAGCTCCCACAGGTCCCGCCAAGCCTCGTCGACGGACTCCTCGTCAGCGGGTTCGGTGACCTTCGGCTCGACCTTAGCTCCCCCGTCACGATGCCCCCCAAGAAAACGGTCGGCCGCCTTCAGTTCGTTTTTCAAGCCTTTGACAATTACGGTCCACCCAGTGGCGATGCCCCTGAACCGCTGCACCGCCCGGACTGCGAGGTCCTTGTTGCCATACTCGAAGGCGGGCTCGCTCAACAGGGTGGCCCCTTTGATGATCCTCCGCTCTGGCAGATGAATTTCCTCCGTGGCGGTATCCATGTCGAGGCCCCACACAGTTTGGAACGTGCGGAAGGGGCCCTCGATCAAGTCCTTCTCCTGGTTCACGGCAGCCTCGCCAAGCAAAGTTTTCACGCCGAGCTCATACACCTCGCTCGCAACCCATGGTCTCAAACCGACTTTGGGCTCCACGAGCACATTGTCGTCAACGAGGATGCGGCTCTCGAAGCCCCATGACAGGTCGCGCCGGGGACACGCTGGGCAATGCTTTCTCAGAAACTCCTCCGTCGCCTTTCCCCAAACAGTCCATTCGCCCGGGGAGCCCGAGAACCCAAAAGAGCTGACCAGGTAGACAATCGTCATGGCGACGTGGTCCACCGGCTTGCCCTCCTCCATCTCTTCTGGGACCCACGGCAAGTCGCCCGCGAACAGCTCGACATCACCCGGATCCACCCATAGAAGCCGAAAGGCACCCGCCACATCCTTCTTGCTCATCAAGATCTCGACCCCGGGCAGCTGGCTCTTTGCGTACAAAACCAGCCTTGCGACCTGCTCGTGGCGGGGTTGGATCGCCGGAGGGTGCCATTCCTTGTGGGTGCCCTCGTTGATGAC